AAAAAAAAATATATATAATTTAAAAACACAGGCATAATATGCATCTCAAAGCTTGGGCGGTGTTTACCGCAAGTTCTTCCGGCTGTCGGAAAGTATCATGCATATCTATACGGCGACTATACMTACATAAATACAAACGACAATTCTTTTACAAAATATTGTGGTTCTTGATTTGATTTTACACAAAGTAACATGCGGCTGGAACATGGCACTTGAACGTTGTAATAATGAACCTATTTATATACAGAACACATACAATGCGATGCGTTATATAGTACATAGGATCGTTTTATATTATGAACGACTTGGCAATAATAAAGAAATAATTTGCACAGTTAAAATGGAAATTGATGATAATAATAGATCAGCCCGACATAGGTATTATTATTGTTGTTATATTACTACATTATATACATTATTTATCTATTATTTTGTTTTATTATTGGTGTAGTGTACTAGTACGTTGTAATGTTTAGTTTGAGAAATGAATGATACATTTGGTTACATTTGTATTGACGATAATACGATTCACGAATGAGTTTGTAGGGAACCGGTAGAAATGTCACTTATGTGACMTGGAGACTTTAACGATGGTATAGCTGGAACGTTGATGTTCACAATATATTTTACCATTTCAGATAAATTCACGCTGGGAATATGATTTTTTTTTAAACACCCACACTATTCACTTTCCTTGGCGATAGCGATACGCGTTATTTCTGACAGTTAGGATCTCTCCGAATTTAGAAACACAGAGATGAAGAAAATGACACATCTCGAGTGCAGATATATATAATGCAGCTCTTGGTCGTGTGTATATGTGAATAATAACATAATATTAGGTCGAACCAAATAGGCCGTACAGTGCGTGTGTATAAATTGTAATGACGTATACGTGTATGTGTGTGTGTGTGCACGCGCTACCTCCACAAAACGCCTACCCACCTTCTAGAAGGAACGACATGTGCGTGTGTGTGCTGCGCGAGTGTGTATCGACATTGTGAAATAATTACAATACGAAAACGAGTATATACATCATTTAAGCTATATATAAATGCGCGCATATGCATATATTTAAGAAAATCCGGAAATGATAGGTGTATTATTTGATGTTATTACGACTTGGTTGAACAAAAATTGAACGTATAACATTAGTTTGTAAACATAACTACAAAATATGTACGAATTCAAGTATAGTGTTGCGTGACTGTAGTCCAAAGTACCACATACACTAACACATTGTATACATATTATGCCAAGCAGATACTTCAATTTGCGTATGTAAGTAATTTTTTTACACAGAAATAAAGTTATATTATAAAAACAGCAAAAATTTAAAAGTTAAAACGAAAGTACAATAACAAATAATATCATTGTACAGCTACCTATATATTAAAAATTATATCATATCTATTACACGTAAGTGYGTAATCGAAGCAAAAACGTTGTCGACCTATTATAATTATTATAGAGCTGTGTGTTTGGTTTGAATTATATGTATATATTAATGTGATCACGCAGTTTTGAATGTTAATCGTGGCAATAACACTCGAACAAGTATCGCATTACTATCATATCATCGTCGTCGTATTATTATTGTACAGTCGCGAGCATCATATTATAACAGGACGCTTGAAGTGGTCGCCCGCCCGGCGTACCTGCGTTTATTTGTTCAACACACCGTGTCAAAATTGCGACGTTCTGTAAACACGGATTTAATCGTTCACCGTATCGTATATACCGTACATAATATGCGGCAATCACGTTATGATAACGACGACTTTGCAGTGATGAAAACTGCAGTTGTATAATATACTCTGGTCGGGCTGTGATGGTCGAATGAAAAACTGTGGGTATACACTAGGGAACCRGGTCATGAAAGTTGGTCACGTCTCCTGTTCGTTTTGTTAAATAAAATATAATACTGTCTGGTAGACTTACCAATATTAATATAAAACAGCCTTTGGCATTGGTTCCGATGACGATAATGTCGTTATCCTTTTCGCGCACAGACGAAAAACAGCGCGCACTAAAATTGAATGCTGCATAAAAACGGTATGCCGAAAGACGGCAGGAAGGATTAGTAAGAAATTAATAACTAAAAACAATATTATTATTACAATTATTGTACGCAAATCGGACGTTTACTTAATTATATTATTATATTAATGCAAATTACTGGGCGAATCGTTACGCGTACGACGACGGGCCGAGGATTCGGTTACAGCAGAACGAACGACGACGCACCGACGGGTCGGGTCGCGGACACGGACTGAAGAGCGCGGTCTTGAAAGGAGGCGCGGAGGCTGTGCGGCGGCGGATTGGTCCGGGCACGCGTTGGTGAGTAGGAGTGAGAGACCGCGTCGCCGTCCGACCATATAACATGTATACACTTACAAACATTACCACCAGGTATGTGTCAGGTAAGTGGCGTGCACGCACGCACATGTGTGTGTGTGTGTGTGTGTGTGTGTGTGTATGCGTCGAATGGCGTTGGTGGGTGTATAACGGGCGAACAACAACCTGGTCGAGTGTGTTCGAAATCTACATCGAGTTTTGCGCGCATCAGCCCTCGTCGACGCCAATGTTTGGGATCAAGGGTTTCAGAACACGGACGACGGGAGGGGCGCGTGCCCTTATCCAATATTTTTCGTTCTGTGCGTGTATTGAGTGAGTGAGTGAGTGAGTGAATGTGTGTGTGCGATCTACAGTGTGCACGAGGAGTGTATATAGTATATATATATATAGTGTGCCGTGAGTGAGTGTGTATTTGTGAGTGCGTATGCGCATGAGACGTGTACACTTGACGACTACGACGACGTCCAAATGTCAATAATACTGTATATGAAGGTTGTTTGTATACATAATAAAAATAATAATCGGCTGGAGATAAGGTGTTATGCGTATTTACCGTGAGCAAACGATATCGGTTCTTCACGTCGTGTGTACAGAGTATTATAATCCTTCGGTTGTGTTGTTATTGTTTTTATTTTTCTGGTGTACAGCCACACCGCATCGACTTATTATATATATTATCGGCGACGAAGAGTCAATACTCAAACCACATTGACACATACGATCACGACTAATGAAAATTTAACCCATGAAAAAAACGTGTACACGACATTTAAACGTGAACGCCGAAAAATCAAAAAAAAAATCTCTCTAATTACTATTTGTATATTAACGTGCAYCGTTCGAGACGGTCGTTTATAATTTTATATGTATATATTTTTCGGTGTATGTCGTGACTGTGAAATAAACAAATTATAAGGTTCACAGAGACAACGAAAAAACGCCAGCGATGTATAATACACCTTAGCTATTATGTTATAATACAGCGCGAGTTGAAAATTATCGCCTCGCAGTGTTTATAATTATAGACATTCCTTTAGTGAAGTAGGAGGACCGCGTATTATCACGAGTGCATAGCGTGTTACTTATTCTTTTATGAGGAACGTTGATTTTTGATGGTATTTATCTCCGTTCAGTTCAACGATGATAACACCGATACACGATATATATAGTTATTAGAACAGCTTTAAGTTCAGTCTTCAAACGATAAACGTATTTTTTAAGTAAAAACTCTCCGCGTATATCCTAAAATTCACGTTGATAATATTACGATATATAAATTTAAAAAAGAGATAATGTATACATAAAATAAAACCATATATTAAGATTAAAAGGGATATAGATGGGTTTATAATAGTGTTAAATTATGAATTATTCGAAACGCACAGAATTCGTAACTTAATACAGACTAAATAGAACGGGTGCTRTTATTAGGAAACCAACACTATAATATATGACGTATATGATAATATTTTATAAAAATTAAAACGTGCTTATATATCTAAACAAGAACCTGCAATGTATATCTGTAAAACTCGCTATATTTGTCCTAAGCATCAAAAGTAACTAATACTTCTAAAACCAGATTCAGACCCGAATGAAATATCTATTCGCTGGTGCTTATATTATACACACACACACACACACACACACACACACACACACGACGTATATTCATCATTACGGTCTGAAGGATGCGACGACTGTTCGAATGACGCGTAGTTTAAAATTAAAACTCCAAAACTCATCATAATGCTTATAACTATACGAACACACAATAATATATACATAAATGCAATGTACTAGAAGAACCAAGAAAGATTGTCCGTCATTGTACGCACATTCCATTTCAACATTCCTATTATACCAGTACAGTATAATACCTATATACGATTTTATATGTTATTGGTGTGCCGCGGTAAACTGCGTCGGACACAGCATATCAATAACTAATAATTGACGCGGCATGCKCATATTATGTATATTATATATAGGTATAAATAATTTTTAATTAGATGCTAATCGGATTAAACGAGTTGGGTACAAGTCGTGTACGAAGCGGTCGTATATAAAATAAAATATAAGCTATATATATGTATAAATTATATTATTAATTATAATATAATATGAATGTGTAACCTACAACCATAAAAATTAAAAAGTATCTATATAATATATGTTGTTATAAAATACGTGTATACACGATGTGTTGGATGTATTATACAGTCGAAAAATAGCTCTGCAGTGTTGGTCGCCCGTCCGTCGAACATATAATATTCTAAAACCTACCAATATCATATTATTTCCCATGCGTGTACCCGGCGCCGATATGCGCGGATTTTTCGAGCCGCCCACAATAACTCGAGCGCCGTTTTTTATCTGATGCTGCCCCGGTGCAACGCACACAACTGCACGCTTTTGGCTGGTGCGCGAGCGAACAAAAAATGTAGAAACAAAGAGAGAAACAAGGTGAGAGTAATGGAGACGGCGGAGAGGTGAGCGTATAGGAATGCGTACAACATTTAACTATATAGGTTAGGTATATATAACTACGTACGATATATACGAAACACACATTTTAGTGCAAACGGTCGGAATATTGGAGACTAAATTAAAGGTATATACAGGTAGGCACGTCAAAGAGGCCGTCCAACGCCTGTACATAATATATTATTATACATATTATTACATGGCCGAAAAAACTAAATACGTAATTAAAAGGAATTGTTTACCTGGTAATTTTGAAGACCGCATCATATAAACCGGGGGGCAAAGCACGCTAGGACCGGTTGCAGGACGAATTAAAAGATCTATTAAAAAATTGCAACCCATTTTTTGACCAATTATTTATTTGTACGGGAAAATTATCGTTTTTATAAAATGTCCAATCTATAAAATAATATACCTATTAAATATTATTTTTAATTGTTTGTTATTTTTTTGTAAGTAAACCTGAACGGTATTGCCGCTAATTTAAAGCACAGTTCAACACAAATGCTGAATTATTTWATTACAATCAATAGAAAAAAGAAACATAACATGTGTATTTTATCATTGCAGGTGCTAACTTTATCAGATCAATTACTAAAATATTAGATAGTATAGTGGTAGAACTTAATATATGCACAGTTTTTATCTATACTAATTACATYGTCATAGGTTTTCTGATTTGTGTAATCTTTACTACATGCATATATAAAAACCATATTTTTAGACACCTAATTTGATATTTTATACCATTTAAGAAGTGCCCTGCATAGTAGAGAACTAGAGATACAAATATATTTTGTAACGTTAAACAATAAATGCTAAATAACCGTCATTTAAGTCGCTATTCCTACTAAAAACCYGCAGTAAACAACATGGGGTGACTGTATAGATGATGTGCATCCGACACTTACGTAAGAGTGATACTGATGAGTAATTGCGGTTCTAATAAAACTTAAAAAGGAGTAAGAATTTACTATTTAGTACCACTGTCACTGTATATGTTAGAAACAAATATGCAACACTACCTAATTGTTTTTATCATATCTTGCCAAACTTACTCTCGTTAAACTTTAATTTTTTTTTTATAAACTTTATTAAAACGTTATTATTTGTGATATTTAAATATTAAAAAGAATTAATAGGTTAAGTTTCAGAGCGACCAATCCCCAGAAAATCGCCAATTAGGAATCCTAATTTAAGATGTGACTCGTTTGGGACTTTGTTGGTTTTGGATCGAAAATTGTGGCCAGAATTTTGCCACACTGCTCGCACTCTACATAAACACACTTTTGGACGTTGTAGTCTGTAGACCATCGTCGTACTGTCGTAATTGTGAAGCCGGATTTCCACTATACCTGTCGAGAAATGTTGAACATATTGAACTTTTTAATAACGAGTTACCAACATTCAAGAAAGAACATCAATGAGAACTTTAATACCTCTCAGGRAGTATACCACGGTATATCGATGTGTACGGTGCAGTTCGTCTAGGCCGAGCTTATTACGAACAGTGTATTCGATTTATAGAACGTATCGGTWGGTATATATTGTAGAATTCTCGGGTGGAAAATATAGTCGTCGAAATATGTATCGGCTGAATTGCACGCGATTCGACCGACCGCACATATTTTTTATGGTATACCGTGTACATAATCGTGGAAAGCCGGTAAACGCGATATTTCTCAACGGTCAAGGAGGATTTCCATACTGAACACGTTCCCTTAAATTCTTTGCTTTGGTTGTGGTTGGTTATGTTASAYWMWATACCACACAATTAACCACGTTACCGTGTTGTTGTTCATGAACATTGTTCGTGTATACACACGTATATAGCGGAAACCCGTCTTCAGTCTTATGAAATGCTGCAGGTCGTCGAGGCCATAGACCACGTCCAATATTGTTAACCGCGCCGTTTTAGCGYCTGCGAGTACGTATATATTATGCATATAGTGTAGCGTGTTGCGTGCAGTGGTCAGTGGCAAAACTATACACGAGTGCAGTTGATCACACCACCGGTACCACATTTTCCCGTGGATTACACCGGACGTCAAGGTACGATKCTCAAAGTCACACATATTATTCATGTGTTTTTTTTGTAGAAATAGTGATGACTTCACACGCCCATACGACCGTTATTTATAGACATTTGAATTTATCGTACCTATATATATATATATTACAACAATACGCGTATAATTGTAACACGCGGAAAACCTTGGTACTGCGATATACTGCGATTACTCCAGCACGCTGTACCTATGACCATTTTTGGCACATGCAACGTATCACATCATAATAAATATCGAGTTTTATCGTGCATTAACGTCGTTTTATTTATAATCAATGAGCCGGTGACACATATAATGCACAATTGTACCTAACTGATATGCATGAAGACTAGAGATATCTCTAGTCTTCATGCTGATATGAGTATTGACGATGATGGTACTCACAGTTTTCACGAATC